GTACAGCACAGACGTACAGCACAGACGTACAGCACAGAGGGCACATGTGTTTAGTTCATTTGTCACTTCCTCCGGACGTCTGACTTTTCCGTTGTGTGACAGAGCGGTCGTACCATGTTGGCCATCTTGATGTAGAACAGACAGTAGGAGTCTTCATTCTGGTAGACGTAGGCCAGAGCTCTGGGATCTGTTTCGTCCTTGGTCAAAGAACTGATGCGGCAAATGTCATGGTCATGAAGTACAGCCTGGAAATTAGATGAAGAAGAGATTTTTTTTCCCTGATGAATAAGTTGATTCCAGGTAAGTGGGAAAATTCAAAAAACACATTTTTAAATGTGTGCAAAACTGTAATTTTCTTTCTGATATTTGTTGGGTTTTTTTTGTCCATTTTCTTGACTGACTTGACACGACAAAACAATGACCTGTGGTTTGAACTGATCACTTTATTTCGTAGGTTACAACTTCAATCTATTAGTATCTACGAACTACTTTAGTTAATTAGAGCCAGACATTATTAGATTGTAGGTAAGCCAGTCAGACACATGCGCTATGTCGATGAGGATTTTTTTTGTGGTCAAGTTTTACTATTTCTACAAATTTGAAGTATGAGTCTCTGCAACCAACACATCCTGCCACTGGAGGCGCCATTTAGCGCTGCTGCAACTCACAGGCTGTCGCACAGGTGGGAACCTAACCCAGGACTCTCTGTTCTCTGCTAACCACTACACCGAGGAACCCCTGACAGATACAGTCAGCGTCCGTGTTGATGTTTCATACCCCAGATCGATCATCCAGGATTTTCAGGCTGGTGGAGAAAACTTTGAGCCAAACTCTCTTTTTATGCTTCCCCTGTCGCCGTGCTGCAATCTCCATCCCCTAAACACACACAGAAAAACACACGTACAAGGTAAAAACATTACAATCCTGACACACAGGTTTAACTGATTATTAGCAACAGTGTAGAATTACAGGTCAGTGTGTGATGACTTTAGTTAAACCAAAAACTACAACTCAACTTCACTTCTTCTGTTCGTTCGTTTTGACATTTTTTAAGGAATAATTTCCCTGTTGACGTTCACGTTACACTAAGGAAGAACGTCTTTGGATCAGGCCGAGAATCAATCATCATTACCAACAAACAACGTCAGATATTTTTTGGAACCTTCAAGAAGAACTGGGTTGAAAAAGCACTTTTGTTTATGGAACAAATTATGACTTTTCTAATGTCCAGAACCAGTGAAGGTTGCCTATGTTATATCAACACTGTGGAGTACAGTCAGAGGACTTTCCATTCAGGAAAAATAACGTCAATGTCAATATAATTTCACTGCCGAGCCTCTGTTAGCAGTTGAGGTGCGGAACTCTTGGGCCAACAGTCTGTCAAAGCAGTGATCATGGGAAACATCACAGGAAACTGGAATGGGTAAAAGTTCTGTGGGAAGGTTAGTTTGTGTCAGAGAATGTTTTCACTCGTACGGTTCATGATTGGTTTTTGTCCTAAATGTTGTGGAATGAAGTCTTTAAAAACATATGCAACATGAAATACGTTCTATTATTTCTTATATTTTGGAGGGAAATTCTATTAAAAGATGGCAGGGTTTCAACAGTTAGTGTTCAAAAATACAGTTTTACTAACGGCATTTGTAACCTTTTTTTAAAATGTATTTTCCATTTCAAAAATGTATCTTTACTTTGTTGGTGGCAGATTAGGCTAGGCAACCTGTAACAGTAACAGTTGTCTAGTGTGTTGAAAAAGCATCATGGTTAAAGTCAGAAACACACTTTTTTATTCTTACTATTTATATATTTTAAGATTAACATTAAAATAATTTGTTAATAATATAAATGCAGAGCCTGTTTCATGAATATTGTAAACGATGAACATCAAAACATATATTCTAAACTTACCGCAATGATTAATAACATCATCATTCCTTAATTTCTAACCTCTAGAGTCTCTTCGTTACTTTGTCTCCCTCGTGTGGCCTGTCTGTGCCCTTGTTTTGTTCGCCTCTTTTAGCCTCCAGCTCCCGACTCCCCACTGACACTCCTAATAGAATTCAGGTCATCTCTCACATCCCTCATCCCAGTGTCTCGACTGAACTGTGGTCTTTGTTCTTTTTCCACCAGATTCTTTAGGAGAATCTGTGGCGTTGAGATTAGACAACAATTGATCTTTCTTTACTCAGACATATTGTCTCCGTCTGCTCGAGAGTTCACCAGGGTGTCAGCAGCGCCTCCAACAGTGCAACACTTCTAAGACTCCATGGACCACATAGAGGGCAGGTGATATGGGCTACAGACCGCAGAGATAAGCGCGGTCTAGACTGTATTTCAGCCCACAATGACAAGGATTTGCGTAGTCGATTAATCAGGCCTGTATTTTTTCTAAAGGTTAGAGTTCAGCGCCCTTAAATCACCTGTATTTATGCACGTTCAGATGTCAAACCTTATCATTTTAGAAAAACAGTCTTATCAGCTGATGTTAAATTAAAAGCCACTGACTTATTGACTTTTCTGTTCACTCTGAGTCCGACACTCAGACTTTTCCCCTGAGTCCGGCTCCTGCTTCTGTGTCACAAAAACAAACGCTGCCCAAACACAACATGGTGTGGTATGTTTTAATCAGGCCTGTCATGTGACACCAGAACCACGGTGTTTATTTAAACTTTCTCTTGGGTCAAATGAGGACGTAAAGCTCACATTACAGATGATTAGTTGTCTTCAATCAAAAGAAAACAGAGGTGAGTCTACACACACACACACACACATAACCTTTAGTTTCATCATGGAGTCCCAGCACATCTTTCCCCCCTGAGAATCAGGCACCGGGTCAACGCCGATAAGCTTTGCTTGGTATCGAACCCCATCTCCATGGAAACGGGAGATGGCGACTGCAGGTGTCCCGCTGTTTCCTAGGAAACATAAGCAGAGGAGATAAACATTTGTGTTGGTTCAGATCTGTGACTACAATGATGCAAATTTCAGTTTCTCATCATTTATTTAATGATTTTTTTTTTGTTCTGAAAATGTGTGAAAAAAAATTCAAACTTAATGTTGAAACAATGATCCTGGTGTTTTTGAATTTCTTGCTGAAATAAGCACGGGTAATGTTGTGATAATTAACACACTTTATGTGCTGCCAAAGGTCGACTCCTCAGCTGTTTAAACATGTGATATAAGATGTGTCGGCCTCCAGTCCTGGTTTATTTTACCATCACTTCTTACATAAGCAACACTTCTCTTATAAACAGTTGAAGTCAACAACAATCGCTCTGTTAACTGCTGTGTTTCTCACACACATTCTGCTGATGATGTTCAACTGCAGTCGTGACTGACATGTGACTGACAACTGAAGGAAATCGTTATATTGCCCAGAAGAGCAAGTTGGCAAATTACGAGGCAGTAAAAACCAGCTGAGGTGGTAGAAAATCACATGTTTCTTTTGTTTCTCAGAGACTTTTCACAAAACAAATAATATTATTTTAATTTAGGTTTTCCTGTAAATTCATATGTGCATATTCTTGTTGTATGTAAAGGTCTAATTTTGATATTTTCATATATTAAAAATAGTTAAAAAATAAAATAAAATAAATAACTGTCCCGCCGCAACGACACCCATTTTCTTTCGCCCAGAAGTTTTAGAAAAAGTTCCAACGTCCACAACATTACGAACGCGGATCTCAGATGGAGATGCTTATCTGTTGACTTTGACCAGTTGTTTTAAGAACCAGTCAAACACTCAGGAGAGTTTGATACAGTTCAGAGTGTTGTTTTGTTTGTTCTGGATCTGAATCCAACTCTGTGATTTTTTTTTTTAGATTTTTTTTTTTGCATTTGTCACCATGGTGGTAACCTCCAACAGAAGCCTCTCAAACCATCTCCTCACTCAGGTTCCTGTCACTCATACACATCAACCCTGACACTCCCTTATATCCACTCCACTTTCACTGTGAACAATTGACGCCACATCTTTAACTGATCCTCACACCTCACGCCATGTGAACAATTGACGCCACATCTTTAACACCTCACCCTTATTCACTTTCACATATTCTGTCTTTCTCCTAATGACTTTCAGTATTTCACTGCGTGTCACTAACAGTGATTCAAGGCGAGTTACTTCAAGTGTCTCTTACAAGTACAAGAGATTGAAAACCATACAAACAGTGCAGTTGTCCCGCTGCTGTTTAGCGTCACTGCTCTCTTGCTTCCCGT